ATGGTGATGCGCAAGACACGCCTCAATGCACCAGTGTGAACGACTTCCAAAGGCTACTCGACAAGGTGTGGAACCATCTCATGGATGAGTTTGCGAAATCATCCGGCCTATTCGATCACTACAAGGCACTACAACTTCTTAAACTCTCTCCCGGTGCTGACTTTGACGGCCATCTCAGTCGGTTCACTACCCTTATTCGTGCCATACAGAGAGAGAAGGGTTCCATTGATGACCGCGAGACGGCTGCTCACTGGTACAACAGTCTAGATGAGCGAGGTCAAGATGATATAGATCGGGCTCCTGCCCAAGACGTTAAGACCTTCGTCCAGATGCGTGAGAGATCTCGAGGCTTCTACCGATCACTCAAGAAGACGTGGAAGGCTAACGCTGCTGGAAAGTCGATCACCACTAATGTTGCTACTGCTGCGGGTCCGGCGACTACAACTCAGGTTCATCAATCTCTTCCTACACAGCCGGCCTCAACTCGTCCAAAGCCTTCTACATTCTGGGACACTACAGCCCAACGCCCTGCCGATGGGGTGACAGACGGGTCTATATTCAACCTCGACTTCATACGGAAGTTCCGGTGTCAACGTTGTCTCTGCCACGACCACAGTACTGGCTCTTGCAAACAATCTAAGATGGCCTTCGAATCTCTACGTTGTGCTCGATGCGGGACTCATCATGATCCCGTACGGTTCCCAGAAGCTCACTGCCGAGACAGCAATTGCTACCGCTGTGGGAAGCGAGGTCATATGAGTCGTGCTTGTCCCGAACCACTACCTCAGAAACCCGATACCACCCCTTCAAGCTCTACTGGTACCGAAGGGGCCAAGATTCAGGCTAATGTAGTCCAGATCACTGACTCCGATGGGTCTGGATTACCCATGATAAAATTAGCCATCTCATCACCTGACTACGACTCGCCCAAGCCCGAAGGTCGTGTAGCTACTAACGCTCTACTGGATTCTGGTGCTGAACAACCGCTATGTGCCGAAGATGAGTATAATCGA